TCAAAACTATCAGCATTTTTCAGAGATATCTAGAACATAGAATCATTAATCTCTCAATCTTTTACTACATTTTATACAAAATATCTGAAATATTGCGTCACGATCGTTGTATCAATTTTCTTAACGTAATGGGTCACGTGGAAAGACTTCTTTGTCGAGAGAATTGAAAAGGAAATTTCCGAATTTAACCAGAAAATTCGAAAATTTGCTGTAAATGTAAAAAGAAATGTACATCTTCTGTTCTTCGCACTAGTATATCTACCGGCAGAAACTTGCATGTGATAAAAGTGAAGATACTGCGACTGCCGAAACAGAAGACAAAGATAATAATGATAATGATGCAGTAGTGACGCATAGAGATGATATACGTTAAGCAGGGAAATTGAGTTAGAGGAGATGCTCTCGGATCTAAAAGCGGTTTCGAACTTGGCAATTAATGATCCTTTTTAGAATTAAGATTCTCATAATTGCTCCATCGAATTGGAGTATCAATGAAACTCGTGAATATGGCGCCTCAAAATTTTAGTTAGAAAGTCAAAACAACTCAAAGATGCGGGGAGTATCTTAGTTGATACAACTACTAAAGCTGGTAAAATTTTACTCGATTCAATTGTCGAAAATGTCAAGGAATTCTATAACAAACGATTTATACAGTAGGATTATACGATTTATACAGTAGGATTGGACAAAAAAGATACTGTATCTGTTAAGATTGATAGAAATAGAACTACTATGCAGAAACGTCTGCTCTATGATTTGAGAGAACTCTATGATTTATTTAAGAAATCAGAAAAACTATTCAGTTGGAGTTCATTAAATTACGTCCCAAATATTGTTTCTTGGGGGACTCGTGGAATAGTGTTCTGTGTTTGCACAATACATCACAATTGTAAATTGATATTGGAATAGATATTCAAAATCTTAGTTGGAATCCAGAGAAATAAATTAACAATTGTAAAAATTTACAACAAATGATGTGCAAAAATCTCACCTCACAGTGCCATTTAGGTGAGTGTTTCAAGTCTTGGTACGAAAGATCTTTCTTCTCGTTTACTCGATTCATTGAATGAAGCGAATATTTTTCAAGTGGGATACAGTGCATGGACGAGAATCCTTGAAAAGGGGTCAAGATCAAATCTACGTTTACCTGATGATTACTCTACCCAAACGTGATAACTTCAGATCGGGTTATTTTCCACCGTAATGCATTACTGAATAGGTAGTTGGCGAATTATGTTGAATTTTAGTTGACTGTGAAATTGGTCGCCATCTTGAATACGCCATTTTGAATTCAGAAAAAAGCCAGACGGTTTTTGAAAGTGGATGTCAAGCTTTAATTTGAGCCGTCGCAGACCCCATTTTTTTTTAAATTATTTTGGTCAGTGGGGATCCGCTTCACGAAGAATTGCCCTAATTATAAAATAGTAATGTAAGAAAATAATCTAGAAGAAGTCAATCAGCAGGATTAAAAGTACCGAACAGTCACTATTAACCGTTCCTTTTTTAAATTATTATAATTTTAATATTGTATTTTTTGTATATGTACAATAGAATTCTGAAATTTTTAGTAATTATGGCTTTCATATTGAAGTGAGGAACTATTTGGTTTTTATATCATTTTTTATTTTCATGCACTGAAAAAAATATAGTCAATTTTAATAAATATTTAATTGAATACGGCTAACTAATATTTATTAAATATAAAGATACATTTATTTGATACAAGAAATGTTAATTTGATTTAATAATCATTTTTTTTATTGAACAAATATTTACTTACTGTAAGTAAATGTTTAATTGGCAGTATTGAACTAAACATTTATTAAAATTAACTATATTTTTTTTTCAGTGTACTAATTTATTTTTTTTTTTTAATGAGTGAAAAAATTAACGTTAATTCTTGTATTAATTTGGAAATTTCTTTCAACAGAAAAATCGATATCCGCATGCATGACGATAAGAGGAGGACGATCGGTGAAGCCACCGGCCCGAATGAGGCACCGATAGGAACTAATTTATATTCAGGCCTGGGTTCGATTCGAAACCAGTTAAGTGAGTCCCAATCAGACGAGTAAACTTATGAAAAATCCGGATTTTCAGAGATTCGCGCCGCAACGCAGCTTGCGAGGTCACGATCTTGACTTTATAATACGAGTCTCCGATATATACGTGTACCGTTCATACGAAGAGGTCGAGAGTGGAATAAAGTAATGTTGTACATCGAGGAGATCTAAGTGTTAACAGCTTAATTATGCGATTAATTACTTAGGATAGATCTATGCAAGATTTTATTAATACGTCTTTTCTAAGTGAAACGATATCTCATTTCACTCATGTATTTGTTGATAATGTATTTATTGACTAATTTTCCGTTAATTTTGCTTAGACAATTAATGAAAAACATTTTATAATTTTAATCTTTCGAAACTAACGCTAAAATCTGTAACATAGTTAAGACCGTTTTTGTAATATATATGCCATTCATAGTCGATTCTTATATTTAAAAATGTTTTAAAAACAGTCTTAAGATATTATGAATCAATCAGAGGATCTCATCTTAAAACATTATTTAAAATAAAAAATTATGAACCGACCATGATTATATCTAAAGATTAAAGCTTCCCAAGAAATTCATAGGATTTATTCATGGGAATAAATTTCATTAATGAATTTTTTAGTAACATTAGTATTTAAAATTATAACTATATACTATGAAAATGAGTCTTACTTATACTGGATCTGAAAAACTCGTTTAATTAAAAAGGTTATAATTAATTCAAGGAATAAAATGGCATAACTCGTATAAAAAAGAACATTAAGTAAATTTTAAAAGAACAATTTTGCAGCTAACATAATAAAAATTATAGCAAAGAAAAATGAATTGTTTGACATTTTTAGCAAAGATATTTAGGGTACAGCTGGGCAATTTGAATAGTGAGAAAATTTGGATAATAATAAGCGTTTGCAAGAATTTCAAAAAAAATTTGCCATGTTTTATATTTAGGATTAATAGTAAAGAAGATATGGTAATCTATATATTTATGTAGGTTTGAAAAGATATCTATTGGAAGTCTGTGGAGAGTTTTAAGCAAAGTAAATAGAGAATTTCAATTGTTACTGCAGTTTATAAAAATATATCCTGCTTTAAACTTTTATGAAATCTACATGTATATAAACAGAGCCAAATTATGGATATGAGTTCAAATATTTTAATATAAATTTGATTTTTGTTATAATTTTAATATTTATTTTTAATATTATCCTTTAATTTTTTTATTCAAATTATCCTTTAAGATATCCAAATTGCTCCTCAAAGTAGAGCTTCATTAAAATTGTAGGAGGAAATCGAAAATGGCATTACCTTAAGATTTAAAGATTAATTTTTTATACTTTTGGTAAATATTCCTTAAACATGTGAGTTTCCTGCTACATATTTTAAGTAAACGATACAATTATTATTTTTCGAGAAATTGTTTAAAATATTTGAAATATTCAAATTATCCCGCTGTTGATCTACAATTGAATGAATACAGACCCACCGTCAATACCGAAGGATTAATAAATTTCCACTGTCGTAGCGCGATCTCAATTAATCTCAATTAATTTAGTCATCAGATTTCGACCATCAGATCTTCCTGCAATTTTTATTCATCTATCCGTGCGGTATCAAAAATAAATAGAGATCATGTCGCGTACAATTGTTCATTTTTCCACGTGCGCGGTCGACAACGTGGTAGCGTGAAATCAAGTCTTTGGCGTTGCCTCGGTTTCAGAAAATATGCGCCGCGCACTGTGAAAATGCACACGCAACCGTTATGCCACATCCACCGTGTATAACCATGTGGACTGGTCGATCAGTAATCATAAGCTTCGCGTATTCACTACACGTGCTTAACCACGGAGATTAACCCGTTCGCTTACTCCAGCAAACCGGCGCTCGTCCTGCGATCCACCTGTCCGTCATCATGGCAACGCTTTTTTGAATGGTAATACGGAGAAAAAAACTGAGGCGGTGTAGGAAAAGAAGTCTGGCAGTTGACGTTGAAAGAAAGAGGTTTTGACGCTCGATTAAGTTTGACATCACTGAGGAAGGGAAGAAAGGCATTTCTGCGGCCACTTGTTGCTGACATAAAAAAAATTGCGCTATAGGAACGTTCGTTCAGCTTCGTGAGAATAAAAATAAAACCGTTCAAATAATACTTCTATCTCGATGCAAAACAATAACTCTTATAAATTTTCAGTGATTAATTCTTATTATATACAATTCGGTTATTCATGTCTTGCACATTTCTTTTCTTTCAAATACTAGCTAGGAGCACTTGGCTAAATGATCTCTTTTCCTTTTTTTAACAATTTTATAAATATTTTCTGAAGATGTTAAGTCTATGTAAGAATTATACTTAATAATTTATATATATTTTTTATTCATTATAGTATATTATAATATATTGTAATATATATTTTATATAAAGAATGAATGAAATTAGCGGTCATGAACGATCCATCGTGTGTAGTAAAGGATTGGAGCATCATCGCGCTTACTAAAAAACTTATGATATTATATAACATGCGATTTATGCATATTTAATAAATAAAAGAGATTTTTTTAGAGAAGAAAAATACGTAAAAATTTTTAATCTCGAGATGTTAATTCGAATATCAACCTCGACACTAATTAAAAAGTAACATAAAATCTACGTTAAAATTTCACACTCGACAACTTATGTAACTTATGTAATAATATGTTATATCATATTTATATTAATGCTGTTTCTATAAATTAAATTCAGAGAGTCCAATTTATATTTTATCTTTTCTTAGAACTAGAAAAAGAGTTAATTACAGCGTAATTAAAATTATAACTACATTAATAGAAACAGACATGAGTGTGAAATTATATATAACATAGATGTTATGGATATATTTTAATTCGCCTCGACTGGGAAGCCGCGACCTAAGCTAACTCAACTAACGTAAACCACGCGAGTACCATATCTCACCTTTAATTCAGCCGCAATACTTGGCGGACGAATCCGCCGGTGGGTCGATATGTAGGGTAATCTTGACACACACTGATTAACAGAGCTGATTAAAGAGAGCCGCGGCGCGGCGCACCGCGATCGCGCTCTGCCAACGCGATGTGCTTCCTCGTGTGGCCGGTGATCGTGTCGATGAAATAACTTAATTTACACGGGCATATCTCCCTCTGCCCCGCCCGGTTTTCGGGCGTGAAGAAAGAAAGAAAAAAGAATACACGCGCGTACACGCGCGTACACGCGCGGACACGGACACCTTATCCGGCGCGCATTGTCGGCCGTGAAAAATGGAACGACGGCAAGGAGGCGAGCCGGGGCGATCCAGTTCTCTGCGCGTCGTTAACGAACACCCGTTTCTTATCTCGCTATCCGGAGAACAGCCGAGCGGATATCGGCGTACACGCTCCTCCTGATCGCGGCTCGCGCTCTAGCATCGCAAATCGTCGAATCTTATCCGCGACGTTTCTTCATCTCAGTGACACTGGTGAACGACGGTATCTTCGCGTCCTTGCAGCGGGGTGTCGGTTGAAGAGCTCGATATCGCGTCGAATATTCCGTCCGTGATTAAATGCGACGTGAAACGTTCTGGAAATTTGTTTCCGTTGATGATTTTTGCTGCAAATTAAATCGTGCGCGAGTGAGTTTGAATATTTCTCCCTCGAAGACACCCCGTGCCACCTTTTAAAGATTCTATCCGTATGTCTCGTACTTCTATGTCTTTATCAGTTTCGACGGAATTATTTTCCATGAAATATGATCGATAGAATTCTAGGGAATTTAAAATAATCGTTGCCGGACGCTGATGATTTGGAAGCGGGTCCTTATCGATCACAATCGTTTCCGCTTGCGAGGACGTTATGTCAAATGATTGTGACGCGCGCTGGATTCGGTCCCGTGATCTCGCTCGCTCGCCGAGAATCAGCCGAGAATGATCAGCGGCTCGCGCTCGCTGACTTTCAGACTGATCGCACGCGCGGCCCTCATCGTCGATTTCTGGCACGAGACTACTGTCTCCCTCCTCGAATTACGCGCTAAGATTCACCCTCCTTACTCACTGAGCCCTCGTTGATCATTTCGCATTTCGTGCGGTGGGGCAGCGCGTCATTCAAGAATCTATCTCATCCAATTTTCGATCGAGGGGGAATAAGAGTCAGGATATTGAGAACTTAACACTTTGATTATCTTGATTTTTTTCAATTGATTGCCTGTCATCCTGGCTCTATTTTTTTGTGGCTGAATTAGTGTACTTTTAGAACTTAGTCAGATAGGTATATGTTTGATATTTGGCGAAAGCGAGAAAGAAAGTTTTAGTGCAATCTAATGCAGGAATAAAAAACAGACCTATTATTATATTTTTGCATTTTAACTTCTATACCTTTAAATATAAATTGATGTAAAAATTTCAATTTATAATTAAAGGATTATGTTCGATCAAGGCGAATTTAAAGCAATGTACCTAATAATAATTTTGTGTGAATTTTACAATTTTCAATTCAAAAAAAAATTCACAGAAAAAATTTACGCAGTAAAACATAAGCAGCGAGGAACATGTTGGATTTGCTTACGTTATGGCTTTATGATCTCTATCATGATTGGCCAATTTCCTTTTAAGTTTTTTGTATGCCTTGCCTAAAAGGTGTACACAATAAGATTTTAAGGGCCTAAGGACGAATGGTCGTGAATCGTGTCAGAATCGGTTGATCAAAACGTGTGTTGACTACAACTTATTTACGGCAATCCCCGAAACCTTACATTGAATTTTTTGCGCCGATGGTTTTGCATTTTAGCGCCAGAGCTCAAATTGGACATGTCTAGATTAATCACTTTCTTTCTACAGTTTATGGCTTAGAACTTAAAGATATACGCCTTAAAATCTCATTGTAGATGCCCTTAAGGCATTAAGATTCGCCTTAACCAAATTTTTTACTTTATTTTCTTGAACATATTTCTTGATTTTTTTATTTAATATTGTTAAAATTTCATGTCTTTTAATATATTTATAAAATGTATATGTATCCATATTGATACAAATGGCGTCTTGGAATTACATATATAGATGTGTCCATAATTAAATACAAGTGACAGTCAAGTGTTGCAGAAATGTAATTAAAGAAATACAATGAGCCAATGATTGACGCAAAATAAAAACGGAGAAGAATCTTAGATTTCTAATGTATAATTATTTTATCTTATGTGTGAATTGAAAATAATAAAATTATTGAGTGCAACTAAAATCGACTCTCAGAAGCTTTTTAATTATTAAATCAATAAAGAAATATAATGCGAATGAGAGCCAACAGAATTGTATGTGTAATAATATTTATGTTGATCACCAATTAATGTCTTGAAAGCGTGAGAGGACATTTCTAAGACATTTTAAGATTTTGAATGAAGAACAAAGGTTTAATAAATTATTAATTTCGGAAGCGATGTAAAAAAGCAAAAAAATGAACTGAATTTACAAAATGACATGAAAATGTTGGATCCGTTATACAATAACTTAAAAAGACAAAATGATGTTTCCTTGCTTTACAAGCTATAAAATTTGTATCGTTGATTTTTTATTTAGTGATTTTCCGGTTTATGTTAGTAATTTATTTAGTTGTTGTTTGTTCGATAAGTTATAATTTTGTTTTGTCAATTTTTATGTTGATATGTATGTATGTATTCTTCTTAACACTTATACTTATAAACAATACGAACACGAAATGTCCTCTCACACGCTTTCAAGATATAGTTATAATCACATCGAATTTATAACGGATCATCGTTATGCTGAATCACAGAGTAAGGTTTTTCTAATTGATATAATTAATTTTAATACATTGACTATCAACAGCGTTGCTAAAAACTTTCAATTATTAACATAATTTTAGCTAAATGATGGAATTCTTGTTTGGATATTCAGCTAACTTAAGTACAGATGACTATAAAGTTTTTAAATTTGGGCAACAGCCTAACGATGATTCAATGGTATTTGCTCTCTTTGTTACAACGATTCTAATTGACTCCGAAAAATGATATTGCTATACTGAGGATGACCGAATCATGTGGTCGAAACGTCTGTAATTAGTAATTAACATAAATATTATATTTTATTACACACGTACAACAGTGTCGGCTCTCATTAGCATTATATTCCTTTATTGATTTAATCTTTAGAGCCTATACTTCTTTGATTTTCGTTTAGATTTTTATTTGCACGCATTGATAAGGAGTTTAAAATAAAGATACAGTATCGTCTCGAATAGCGAAGTGTTGCGTCGCGAACGAATCGCCTCGAATGAGCCGTCGCTGTATCTAAATACGGAATGATATTGGGAACAAGAGAACGAAGAGACACGCGGAAAAGGAAGACAGGCGTTATGTAAAATGAAAGAACCAGCTGGGGAATGAAAAAGGAGAAAATCGAGGGACATCTACGAAGATAGCGGTATATAGACGTCGCTGTAAAAAGAAGAAAAAAGGGGGTTAAAGAGGGAAAGGTAATTACGGTTAGATAATAAAGATTACCGTTAACAATAACGAAAACGCTAACTTTTCGCGTTAGGCTTATTTAACAAATATCGATTATAATTAATTAATTAAGTACATATTTAACTTGTGAGTTTTTTCTTAGGCCTTTTTTTTATGCCAAATTAGACGAGAAAAGATCAGGAATCGATTTCGACTTACGACTTAGCGGTCCAACGCTATGAGGATTTTTTAAGAGAAACACGATTTTAACGATTACATTAAATATATGATTAGCTATAAAGTAATATATAGATATATCAGATCTTAAATAATGACAAGTATTTTATGGCACGTGTACATTTTATTTTTCGTAATATGTACGTATAAATCAAACTTAAAATCGATGTACTTTCTTACAAATGATAGCTTTGTGCGCACGTATTTAGTTATTGTCTGAAAGTATAGCGATATGCTTATCGGCGCAGAGAGTGAAACTGCTCATAACAGGTTCATGTTGTATCTAATGCTTATACATGTCTATGAAGATTCGTACATAATACGTGTTCGTATACGAGTATAAATGAAACTTAAACTCGATGTATTCTTTTACAAATTGAATATGTAACTTTACGCGCACGTGTAATTATTGTCTGAAAGTACAGTGATATTAATAACGCGCAGAATGAAATTTCTTGTCTGCTTTAAACGGTTCGCGTATTAAAAAACGTTATACGTGCTTAAAAAGATTTGTACGTTACGCATATTTCTACAATAGAGTAGTGAATTTTAAGAATACAATTGAATGAATAATCGATCAATTTCTTACTACTCTATTGATCATCACATAATTCTGTATGTACGTATAAATCAAACTCAGAACGATGTACAAATGATCTATAATAGTTTTGCGCGCATACTGCAGATCCAAGTGTGCAAGAAATGAATACAATATATGTGTATGATTATTTTAATGTAAAAATGTCACTAAATATTATGTTTAAATGTTCAAATTCATTTTTTTATATCGAACAATGTGTTAAATCCATATTTTAATCTGATCACACACACATACATTGTAATAATTTTTTACATACACCGATTTACATATATGTTTAATTATTATCCAAAAATATAACCTGTTTGACACATGGAAATAGTTGTAGAACAGGTTCACGTAATTAATAATAATGCTCGAACGTGCCTATAAAGATATGTATCGCGATGTGTCTGTACGACAAAAGGGCATTGGACAAGTCATTTTCTCTGTAGCCAGTAAGCCTGACTTTCGCATAGTTTTGATGGAGACAAATCCAGTTCCACAAGGTACTTCGTCTCGGCAAGTTTCGAAACATAAGATACAAGTCGCAGCTCATCGCGCGAAGTGCCAAAATCCTTTCAACATCCAAGACAGCAACTGAATAGGAATACAAGTTATTCCTCGTGTGAAGAGTGCGCAACTCCGATTTAAACCCAGATAGCATGGAACATTTTAATAATATTAAGCAACGTTGTAGTCTTGATGCAATGATAGTTGATAGATTATCTCGGAAACGCGTGATTCTTTTTCCTCATATAAATGTGATGATATCAATTAGTTTCAGAAAAGCGAGTCAGATTTGTTCTCTTCTCAGAATCTCAGAATCTTTTCAATTAATACAAGTAATAGATTCTCCTCCGAAGATTAGTTTTCGCCGTAGATATTGCCATCGCGTTATTTTCGATCGTTACTTTCATTCAACATTATCATGACATAAAGAAAAAAAAATACACATTCAGAATTCAATTCTCAATCGCATCATAGATTAAATCAAAACGAAAAATCTTATGTCCTGCTAGAGAATGTTCTCAAAAACAAATTCATCTCAATCAATTATCCAAAATGTACAAACTGATGGAAGCGAAT